GCCGCAACCCCCAACTGGTTGTAAGTCGAGGACTACTCAACTGGTCGTAAGTCGAGGACTACTCAACTGGTGCAGCACCGTTTGCAGAATGGGACTTTTGGCGGGCTCAGCAGGGCAGAGACAGCCTGGACAATTCCTATTGGCTTTTGAAAGCCAATAGAATTAGACTCTATTCAAGAGAGTCTATTCTATTGGCTTTCAAAAGCCAATAGAATAAAAGGGAGTAGTACAGCTAAGGAAAAGGGGGAAAAATGGCAGACTGCATTGTTTGGTGACTCCCGTGAAATGGTCGTTCGACCCCAAATGGGGTCCCAACCCACAGGTTGAGAACCACTGTTTTAGCTTATCATGATGAAAGTTTTGAAAGCCATTGGTATTCCATGGACCAGATTGTGCACTATGGACAAGAAATTATTATTATTAATTTTATTTGTGTATTGTTCATCTTGCTAAAGGATCTTTTCCTTTCAATTCTTGGCAATTAACATGCAAGCAGAAGATCAAAAATTTTCCCTCTAACTCAGGGGTCCCCAACTCCTGGTCTGTGGACCAGTACCAGGCCATGGCATGCCAGCAACTGGTCCGCACAAACAAGCAAAGCCCCATCCATGGGATGCAGGCAGCACACAAAACCACGCACCCTCCAGTCTGTGGAAAAACCTCTCTCCACGGAACCAGTTCCTGGTGCCCAAAAGGTTGGGAACTTCTGCTCTAAATGTCCCCTCTACAGCATGTCTAATTTGAATATCAGGTTCATACTAAGACAGATAATGTACAACTACCTACATTGTACCAAATTTTATTGATTTTATATGGAATTCTGTCTGTGTGATTGGTGCTGCTCCTTTTTAAATGATGTTTGCAAAGCAATCTTCTTATAACATTGGCTCATCTGTCTAAAATGTTAACTACTAGCTATGCTAAACAAGACTATATGATTACAAAGCGAGTTGAGGTAATTTTGGCAGAAAGGCTTAAAACTTCACCCAGAAAGATTAGGCATGTCATGAGGTTTAAACTGACTGAAAAAAACTCTACTATGAGTCCAGCAGTGTCTGCAGAATATGGTTAAAAAAGTAGCAACCACAACAGTGCAATTGAAGCTCTGCTGGCCTTTTATGGGCATCACATAAACAATAGACAGAAGGCTGACCACACCATTGTGCCCCCACCCTGTAGACCCCTCTCCCTGTGTCTTTTGTTAGAGGGAATCCTCAAAAAGAAGGGGGACGTTATATGGAGTCCTCAACTTAAGACCACAGTTGGGACCAGAATTTCTGTTGCTAATCTAGGCAGTTGCTAAGTGTGCTGTGCCTAATTTTATGACCATTCTTGCAGTGGTTGCTAGGCAAATCATGCAGGCATTAAGCAAATGCAGCTTCCCCATTGACTTTGCTTGTCAGAAACTGGCTGGGAAGGTCACAAGAGGTGATTGCAAGGTCCCATGATTCTGCAGCTTTCATAAATGCATGGCGGTTGCCAAGCACCTGAATTTTGACCACACAATCATTGGGATACTGTGACTGTTGTAAGTGCAAGGACAGGTTATAAGTCTTTTTTTTCACTGATATTGTAACTCTGAATGCTTGCTAAATGAATGGCTGTAAGTCAAGGACTACCTGTGCCAGAAATGTCATCCCTTCTTCCAGATGCTTATTGGGGAAAAATACCAACTATGGTTTGTTGAGGGAATAGATGCCCAAGCATGATGTCCCTCTAGTATGCTGGCATGATGAACCACGCTATTTCCTGCTCCTAGGATCTGATGTTGGGTATCCTGCTTACATTGAGGTGCTACAGAACGTGCCGCGACAAAGGCAGTGATAAGGCACTTATCATCTGATGCTTTTACTCACTAATATCCCAAAGGAGGAAAAGATTGCAGAAAGCTTAAGGAAAAAAAGACTGAGCAACTGGGCCCCAGACTCTGGTTATAGGTTTCTTGTCAGGGGATGGAGCTGCTGTGTGATATTCCATGCCAGCACATGAGAGGGAGGCCATTCTTGGGCATCTACTCCCTCAACAAGATGGGTGGCCATGCGCTGGTGCTGAGTCTGTTTGTGTCAATTTAACAAAACATCAAATTCTCTCCCTGCTAATAATTTTCTTCCCCTTCTGCAGCAGAGACAGCATATTTTATATATCTGAAGAATAAATGTTGTATTTAAGTATTTATGTAAGTATTGTTAGAAGTTAAGAGACTTCTGACTTTTCATTTGCTTGTTTTGGCAAATAATTAAAAATACCTCATGTAAGACCCAACAACGGATTGCGTAGAACAGGGCTTCTCAACCTTTTCACCCATTGTACCACTTTTAGGATATGGCAACATCCAAGTACCACTAGTAGCCTATTTATTTATTTATTTATTTTATTTATTTACAAATATTTATATGCCGCCCAATCCCAAAGGACTCAGGGCGGCGTACAAGGTTAAAAACAGTCATAAAAGAATAAAATAATCCAGTCATACCACGAGTCCGATCATATCCCAGCCTAGCAAGGTGTCAAAAACTTGATGACCAAAAAAGAAAAAAAAGGAAAAAAGTGATGAAGTACAGGTAGTCAAGGTAGTCCTTGACTTACAACAGTTTGCTTAGTGACTGTTCGAAGTTACAATGGCACTGAAAAAGTGCCCCCCAAGCCACAGCCGAGCAAGACACCTGCCTGCCCACCCGGCCACACTCTTCCTCTTGTCCAAGGTTTTCATTGTTGTGAGCATTTCTGTTGAGGATTGGCAGCGGGGGTAGGGTGGGGTGTGTTTGGTTTTTATTCCCCCCGTCTGCTGGGTAATTGCAGCAGGTTTTGGTCACTTCACATGACCCTGGGACACTGTGACTGTCATAAATATGAATCAGTTGCCAAGCATCTGAATGTAAATCACAAGACCCTGGAGATGCTGCAACATTCCAGAACCTGGCGCTTCTTCTGGGCTCAGCAGAAGTGCCAGGATCAGCGCCGAGCTCCAGCAGAAACCTGATGCTGATCCTGGTGCTTCCACTGAGCCCTGACAGCCCCGAAGAAGCACTGATCAGCTGGAAAGCAGCACTGATCCTGGCGCATCCGCTGAGCCCTGACAGCGCTGTAGCTCCAGCCATGTCTCGCTCAGGCTTGTGCGCTGCTGCCACCGGTTCAGCTCATTCCCCTCCCCCGCTACTTTTCTTGGGTGGTCGTGTACCACCTGCCAGGTGCCAATGTACCACAGGTAGTACCCGTACCACTGGTTGAAAAGCCCTGGCGTAGAAGCTGAAAGCAGCTTTGCTCTGTGCCTGGGTAGTGGCTTTCCCCATAAACAGTATTTTATTTCTAGACCTCATTTCCTCAAAGGGTAAGAACAGACTTCTCTTAAAGTGGTAGGCACTCCCTTCTTCCCCCAAGCAGGGCTTTGGAAGGGATAGTATGCCCTAAAGACAAAAGCGGCTGAAAGAGACAGCCACTGCTGAAAAGACCCCCACCCACCACCACCAAACAGAAGCAATGCCTTGTTATGAGCTTGTTCTATCTGTTGTGCAGATAATAATCAGTTTAATATTGCTATGTGCTATATATATACTGAGCTTCACAATTTTCTATCACATCATCCGACATAAAATTTTTGATGATTCTATAATTGTTCATTGGCTGTCTCTGCCTATTTCACATTTTTTCATTCTACTGGTAAAACCAATCCTGGATTATTCAAAGTAATGCCACTTAATTCTGATTAATAAAATCCATGTGTGTGTGCATGTGTGTGTACGCGTGCGCGTGTGTGTGTTTTCTTATCAAGGCTTTTTGGGGAAGTGGTTGCCCCTGCTTCTTTCCTAGGATTGCAATAGAGCGACTAGCCCAGAATTGTGCAGCTGGTTTCAGGTGGGACTGGAGCTCACAATTTCCCGATTTCTAGCCTGATGCTTTAAACCACTGCACTGAACTGGCTCTCAAAATAAAGACTATGGCTCTCTGAGGACTAAAGTCTATACCAAATGATAATTTTAAAATATCCTGCTTGCATCTCAGATTCTTCTTAAATGTGGCGTCTCAACTAAGACATGATGTGTGGCTGTTTTTACTCTGACTTAGTCTCAAGTGGACTTTCCTGATTTGTTCAGCAGAGGAATACTGAGGCAGAATGGGCAGCTTAAAAAGAAAATGAAAGAACTTTGCACCTAATGCCAAATAGTGGAAGATGAGTAGGCCATTTCCTGCACATCACTTTTCTGTGCATTTTATTACTTAAACTAACAAATCTCTTAAAAACTAGTGAATTTTTCCCTGAGACATTCTTTTCATTTCACCAAAAGTGTAAGAAAGTAAGACCCGACAGTGCAGTTTCCCCCCCCTGCCCGCTCATTCAGAAATTAATCCTACTGTGTTTCACTAATTGCAAAAAGGGTTGTAACAGCATGAAATCCAAATCAAGGTTCTCACTTCCAGGTTCTCTTGTCTATTAGCCCAGTGTTCCTCCACCTTTAAAAAAAAAAAAAAAAACATGGCCTCCTTCTGACCTTGTTTTTCTCCAAAGATCCCCAGGTCCAGGACTATTGCATGGTGTCCGGATCCAGACATGGGACAGTAACTGGAACTTTTTCCAGCATCAACAAGACAGCATTTGCTGCATTTGCTGTTGCACTCTGCTTTTCTGTGGCCATCTTGGTACTTGCTGGGGATCTGTTATATGTTTTTCACCCATAGTCCCCTTTCAATATCCTAGGCCTCCACCTCCCCGTTGAAACTGCTGTACTAACCCATGGGCGGGAAAAGTCCCATACTGTCTCTTATGGGGAGGGTTTGCTTTACCCAAGCCCAGAGGCTCCCAACTCCTTCCCTGCCCTGGGATCTTGCTGGCTAGTTTTGATCTACGTCTACAGGAAGGCAACTGAGCATGTAGTGCAATGACAACTCTTCTGTGAAATATGCTGCATTTTTATATTTCTATTTTATAATTGTGTTTTGATTGAAAATTTTAAGTAATCTTCAATGCATTCCAAAAGAGCACCATTTTATGTTTTCCTTTTTTATTTTGGGTATGTCACGATAACTTATCAGTAGTTGTCTCTCAGGGGTTGAAAGAAGTGTCAGTATTCTGGTGTTTGTTCCCAACTTGGTCCTGAAGATATTCTCCCACAGCACATGCAGCTTCTGTTTAAATGTTGTAATTAATGGCTGCCTATCACATTTTCTTTAGATATTAAAAGTCAGCTTTGTTATGCTTGACTGACTCAGGAGGATCAAATAGGATTGAAGGACAGCATTCAAGGTCAGCACACACACACACACACACCCTTACCTTGCTTGAGCAGACCCAGCCATCTTCCTTGTTATCTCTACTGGGAGGGTCAGCAGGGTTTGACCTTTTATTTGCCTAAGTGACACAAAAGCCTTTCCAGTTTATGTTTTAACATCCAAAGGTCGCCCCCATCTGCACAGGACCTCCCAAAGGATCGTTCCTCCACAAGGGCCCGCCAACCCTTCTCCTTCCAAGGTGTCCTCAGGCTTCCCTTAAATTGCAGAACGTGGTCTCCTAGGTCCCAACGCCTGGGCACCTTAGAAGGGTTAAATGCCTTCGGGCGGCTGCCACTCTTATCAGCCCCGCTCAGATTAAAGAATGACTTTAACCCCAAGCCTGCGAGGAGGAGGAAGCGTCACATGGCGCGGGGGGAGAGGGTTTGTTCCTCCGCTACACTCAGCTTTTCTGCCTTGCCGCTACTTCCTTGAGTGGGGGGGGATGGCGGAGGGAACTGCCCACCCCACCCCTAGTTCCCCTTTCCAGCACCTGATAAAATGCTCCCCTGCCCAGTGTGAGTCGCTTCAGTAGATCTGGCGTGAACGATACATCCCGGAGCGAGCCGTGCTGAGAGGACCCCTGGACTGGCGCGTCGGCGGAGAAAACTGACAGACGTAAGGAGGGCGGCTTTGCGGGCATCCAGAGGGGAACACTGCCGCCGCTACAGGTGGCTGGAGGCAGCGTCCTTTGGACTGGATGGGTGGCTCCTAGCTGGAAAAGACCCATGGATAGCGGGATGCCAGCGTGGCTAAATAACAGCGGCAGGGAGACATTAGATCACACGAAAGAGGAAGCGCAAAACCAAATTTAATTTTATACCAAAATGAGTTCTGAAAAACAAACGGCAAACCAGCCAAAGAGGCAATTACTTTGCTGGGTCTGTCCATCTTCTCTCTCATTCAAGGCCTTCCAAACGCTCTCCAGTGAATTAATACGGGGCAATGGAAACGAAGGGGGTTCCCATTTGCAGTTGCCCTCCGTGCAGATGAGACATAGAGATCGTCCAGTTTGAACCAATGCCATTTTCTCGGATGGCTCATCATCTTAAAATGAAATATTGCTAAGGATAACCAAATTTAAGTTTAAAAGGGAGTGGTAACAATCTTATTTATTCAAGAGTATCTTAAGTACTGTAGCAATAAGGCCTCTCATATGGATTGCTATAGCCCCTGGAATAAGACAAAATAGTTGGATTATGCCACCTATTCTTTAATTCTTTGTTAATGTGAGCAATGAGAGGAAAATCATGTCCTACACTGAAAGTCTTGAGGCTTATTTATTTAGTTTTATTATTTGGTTGATTTGTTATTATTGTAATAATATATTACTGACATTCGGTTTTGTTCATTAGGATTTTGCTAGAGTATATTTACAGTGATCAGCCAAAGGCAGATTTACAATTATTAATAATAAGAAATACTGAATGCAAAACAATCTGGAAGATAATAATTCAGCTTTTTCCAAGTAGGAAAATGATCTTATGTTAAGTCTTTTTTAATGTTATATATTTGGACAGAGGATTACATAGGGGATCTTAAAGGCTAAAGAAAAGAAAGCCGCAGAAGAATTTGGAAGAGAATAGGTTGATAACTAGAAAGATAGGTCATTTAGAGCGACCCTGTCTTGCATAAGTCCAAATAAAATGCATATGAATTGCTCAAAAGACCAGTGCTGGAGGCTGCCTCTTCCAAGAAATCTTTTCCAATGGCACAAGCTACTTGCAATTGCAGGATTAGACTTTTTGAATATGCTCATTGAGAACTATAGTTAAAAACACATTAATGAAACATTCTGGATAGAACTGATTTCTTAACAGTTTTAAAGCAAGAAAGCAAAGAGTGACATTTGTACTAATAGAGTGCTTTAGGGGTTTTTTAACTAATTTATTTTTATTTAAAAGAAGGTATATTTTCAAAATAATATCAACAATAAATACAAAATAGAATAGTTATACAATTAATGCTCAATTAATAAAAGATGAAGCATGCCAAGCAAAATACAATATAAGACAGAAAAAATATGATATAGAAAATATAAGATATAGAAGATATAAGTTAAAATAAAAAATAGGCATTTTTTTTAAATTAACACTAGTATCTCTTCTACATTACTATAAGTATTAAAAGAGAAAAAAGGTTAGCATTTTTAGTACGCAAAGTTTGTCCTCATAGCAGTAATCTTAATAAAATTATCTTAATAAATTATGACATTTGCTATTTATATGTTCTGGAATTATATCTAGTAAAATAAATTGTACTTTAGAATTTTCATTTTGAGTTTAATCACTAAGATTGTCTGAACGAAGTACCTTTCCAGTATTGGCAGTTTTGCTTGTCTACCTATCTCATGGGAAATGGAATTTAATGTAACCACCATTCACTATTCCTTTTTCTATTTAATTCATAATTTTATCATTTTTACGTGACATTCAAGTTGCAATTTTTTGATATTGTATTTATTATTTTGATGCATATGGCCACCCATTAAATGCATAACGCTAGGTGACTTACAATAATTTTAAAATCTACAAAAAAAAGAAAAGTAGAATTCTAAACATATAAAAAAAGCATATAAAACAAATCCCAAGGATGCTTTTTCACAAGGCAACTGGACTTTCTTTTTTTTCTTTGAAGACATTTCGCTTCTCATCCAAGAAGCTTCTTCAGCACTGAAGAAGAACTGAAGAAGCTTCTTGGATAAGAAGCAAATATCTTCAAGGAAAAAGAAGAAAGTCCAGTTGCCTCATGAAAAAGCACCTTTAGGATAACTATAACCTGGATGACTGAGAATCTCCATAGACATATAAAATGAACTAAAATATGGTCATCACCAGCTAGGTCAATAGATGCTGACCTCAGTCACAACTGATGGCTTTGTTCAATCAAGGTAATACTTTTGAATAAGTCAGAGTCACTGAAAAATATACAAAATGAGCAAGATGCACTTTATCTAAAACAACTTACTTGTCTGATAGATCCATAATCCATTGAGTATTCTACATCTCTTCAGCAGTAAAGCCACTACTTCAGTGAGACTAATTCCCATTGTGATTGCCATATGAAAGCTTATCAGGACTGGTAGAAAAGAACCAGTGAGTGATTAAATGCATAAGGAATTCCTAGCATCATTACTATTCTAAAAGATATACTTTTAGCTAAAGTATATCTTACATTGACCACAATGTAGCAGGTGCTGAGGAGTGAGTAGCACCGTGTTAGAACATAAAGCGGGTGAATGCTTTCCTCCCAGGATTATTAGGGGGGGGGGAAATCAACCACTAGTCCAGCTAGGCTTCTGTATAAAACTGAACAAAAAGAGCAGGATGATACTGCTGTGTTTTTTTATCTCATATTGTCTGAAAAACTGCAGTGCTGTTTGAATGTTTGGATGGTCCAGTATAAATGATGTCACCATGCTGGCCATTGGAATCCCAGTAAGTGACCTCTAGACTGGAGAGGGCAGGATTAGCTGCAGGCTCCTTCTCTTGAGCAACTAGAGGAAAGGAAAGGCACAACTCTAACCAATAATAAAGCTAGAGGTGGGAACCAGAACTTGGCTGGACTTTCCAGATACATTCTGGGATTCCTTCTCCTACGACTTTGTATGTGTGTGTCTGTGAGCATACAATACATAATATGGTTTCTTCTCTCATTTTCAGAGGATGAGCTTCTTGTACCTCTTGGGGGTTTTCCTGGCTGTCCTTCCAAGCCTTGAGGCTGGTTCCTCCCTACGCTTCATTGCAGTTGGAGATTGGGGTGGACTCCCCAATGCACCTTTCTACACGGCTCGTGAAGTAGCCGTGGCCAAAGAGATGGGGCGAACTGTTGCTTCACTGGGAGCTGATTTCATCTTATCTCTTGGAGACAACTTTTATTACAATGGGGTGACCAATATGTATGACAAGCGTTTTCAGGTGAGGAGTATGAAAACACCATCTTGACTCTCTGAATGATGGTCTTAGATGAAATTAAAACTCATTTCTCAGATGTAGTGCATTAGTGTTATACAGTTTCAAATTCAAGTATTTAGTAGTTTATTTTTAAAATGTAGTAAGATCATTTTTATGCTAACCATGTCGCTAACAACATTTCTTAGTTTCTTAGCTATAATCCCTGGTTCGTGTGCAATATGCATCTAGCTGAGCATTCTGCAAGGTCCTCCTCTTTTGAGCTAATATTGAGCATTCGGCTAGCCCTATGTAGATATTTCTCCATTATTATGTGGAGTATATGTCAAGTGCAAAGGATCAGGACCACAGGGTTGAATTGTAGCTCATAAAGATTTGTTGCTCACACCCATACACAAGTGAAGACAGAAATTAGAAAATGAAGCAAAATGTTCAAGGAAGTCTTTGCTAGCTTACTCCATAAACTATTGTCTGACAATTAGGATGTCTACGCAGGCACCATTTTTGCTCACTGAAGCATCATCATGCCACCCTACAAATGTGCTTGCCATTACTGCTGAGTTCTCCTCATCAGTCAACCAGTGTTCACTTTGGTGTTAAATAAGCACCATAATTGGTATGCAGACAGTGTTCCAGCCCATGTTTATGCTGGCCTTTAATTCCATGGTAAATTAAAATGAAGTTATCTACTTAGTGGGGAGTAGCAACACAAAAGGTGACTGAAATCTTAGTAAGGCATCATGATATCTCCCCTTTAGCAGAGATAGGGAATGAGGAAGCAGAATGAGGTGGGAGATCCTGCTCCTAGGTTCACCTTGAAGTTCAGAGTTATACATACTACTGAATTCTTGCAGACAATGTGCAATGTTTGGCTAAAGGTTAATCAACTGAAGCATATGAATGACAGGGAAGCAGTCTCATCCCAAATCAATTTAAATTGCATCAGTCAGTGGGTTGTCAAGCATTCAAGACCTCCAGATGTCTTCACCAAGCAAGATGTTACGAAAATTTACATGGGAGGATTAGTGAGAAGGGGAAGACACAGATAAGTGGGGGGGTTACTTATTCAATTGAAGGAGCCTACATGGTCAAAATCCTAAAATTTGGGAGATGCACATTTAAATAGATTACATCTTGCCAGATCAATAGAAAAAGCAAACTGTTTGTGTAGA